CCCCTCCCCTCCCCTCTCCACCACAGCCAGGCAGTGCGCCCAAACGGGAATGGCCAGCGGTTTTCCATAAGAAGCCTTCATCCCGATCGGGGCATTGGAAGTTTCGGGTGGGCAAAGCGGCCTGCCCGCGCCAGAAAGTTTCATCGCGATCCGTCTCATCATAGCATCTGCATATGCTATATTACATCATATCTAACGAAGTACGGATGTCGTGAGTTACCGATAAAATATGAACACCTGGGTTTCTAATAGAGCAATAACTAAATTATTCTTTGCGTTAAGTCCGCCCTATTTCAAATGTCTATCCTTTGATTTTCTTCTCTTCCTCTCTTTCTTAATGTTCTTCATCCTTTTCTTGCCTTTCTTGTTCCTGTTATCGGACAACTTCAAATTGGCTTTGACTTATTTTCTGCCTTCAAATTATATTTTAGTACAAACACATTCTCCTGGTTTTTATATTATTTCTTTCCAAATGTTTTTCGACATCTAATATCCATCCTACGTGTACATCTAATATCCATGTTGTGTAATACCTGTCGACGTGAGTATCCGCAAAAGTCTCCATAATGATTGAATTTCTCAATAATGCGTGTCGGGCGGAGGAGTTTATTGAAATTATACAATTTAAAATTTACAAAACAAGTTAACGTTTGAATTTTGAACGACGTAGAGATCTGTGGTGTAGTTTTAGAGAAAAAGACAAAATGAAAACCGTTAAACATTTGTATCATATCTTTATTCTCTGAAAACAAGCCGTCAAGTTCACAAACACACATACAAAGTAGTGTCACAAAGAATCCAACCATTAATATTGTTGGCTAAGGATCTGTACGGCGGCAAATACCCTCACCCTCACCATGAGAGAGCCTTAATATTTCCTTTCATCGTATTAATAATATATTTATACAATTTTTACTTACGCGTATCTCATGCAGACGAGCACTAAATTGGCCAATTCAATCATTAACATATTAGATAGATGCTGAACGTACGCGTAGTGAGCGATTTACATGTTATAAGAGTAAAAGGAATAAGCACATTTGGAATGACGATTGATATCTTTCATTTAATATTTTTTCTCTAACCTTTCCTTAAAACAATGTTGTTAAAAATTAGAAACTTTTAAGATTAGTATATATTGTTACTCTTCAATTGAATATTTGAAAATATCGTGTCTGACACTCATTTTCATGAAAATTAATGCAACCGTAGCAATAACATTTGAGGTAATCCTCACATTACAAGTGGAGCCTTTTGTTCTTACAACGAGAAGAGCAATATTTCAAAATTTCACCAATTGAGTTTTGAGTGGTGTCCACCTAGAGTGTGTACCTGGCCCACTGTCCGGTGCTCCGCCGCAGAGCGACAGACATCGTGTGCATTGCTTGGTTGCTGGCGCCCGCCCAAATGTCACAGCGAGAGGAGCGGGCGATGAATTCATGGGGGATATTAACAACGGGAGAGTAATATGACTTGTCGTTTACGACCTCTTCTTTCAAAAACTTGCATATCATTATGATCGGCTGTTTTTTTCGACTTGGAGCTACTGCTTTTGATAACGCATAGTGGATTCACTTTCTTATGCGCTGAAAAAAATTGTGCACTCGATTTTCGATTTCATGATCAGAATTCATCACTCATTATATTCACGATCGAACTTTATCAAATATGTTTAAAAAATACCATGTGTGTTAATTAAACGACATTCAGCTTTCGACTGGCATGTTAGTGTCCTGAATATCTTTATTTCAATTTGAAATGCCATTTCCATCCATAGTCACTGTTTTAATTTCTTTACAACTTCTTATATTGAAGAAACGTGCGTAACCTATTAAGCAAATTAGCGAGTAACAAATTTTCATTATTAAATCATTATTAGATTAAAGAAAATCGTTATTTGAGCTGATGCCGTTTAATAAGGCTAATATTGCTCTAAGAATTTCTCTAATTTTCACCTAAAGAAAAAAATTGTTTATCGATATATTACTTTTCATTTTTGAAACAAGTTCATAATGTTTAAACTGGATTTTAGAGAATTTACATTTTTGTTCCAATTTAATTTAGGTTGAGCTTAACTATTGTTCCTTATTTTAAACAACTTGGCTTGGGAAAACTTGGCTTGTGGAATGCTTTTGAGGCATCATTTAAAGTAGCCTCAAAAATCAAAATAGTCGTTTGAAACTCCCAAAGCCTCGAGTTCGTTTAGATCAATCGGAGAATATCAATTTTGAAGAAAAGCGACCGAACGGTTTAGGCGCCAACATTGACCAGACGGACAGACGGACAATTTGCCGTCAATCGATTTTTCGGTATCCAAAACCCCCAAAACATATATTCTGGCTGCACCACGTGCTAGAGTAAGTAATTTACTACTTTTAGTAGTAGTCTAAGTTAGTAAGTAGTTTACTTTAAAGTAAGTAATTTATCCACTTTTTCACAAGCAAGACCCGACAGGGCCCTAGACTTTTTCTACCGAAAAATCGCCGTTTTCCGGCATACGATTACATAACTTTCTCTTCTTATGAAGTGCGAGAAAGTAAAAGTCTGTTAATACCTATTAAATAATATTATGAAAAAAACAACAAAAAAGGAAAAAAGAAATACCATATGTTTAAAGTTTGAAAGTTAATTAAAACGTGCGTTCTAGTTAGGAAGGAATGTGAGTGTAAACGTGTTAATTTCGGAAGGAAGCGATGACGGCGTCTTCTGTAGACGAGGGACACGAGTATTGGTTGGTAAAAAGGAGCCAGTATACCTAGCAGAAGCCCGAAAAGAGACAAAGAGAATCTCAGATTTGATAGAAATTAAATGTTAAGGATTATATGACGCAGAGTGAAATGTATGTTTTAATTTTTCGATTCCTAAGATCACGTACTATAATATCATTCTGAATTAGCAAGCAGAAACGGGATGTGAAGCAAAGCTTTGCTACTGCAAACTATTTTGAAGAAAAGGGGTAAATTTCCCATCACATAAAACGAGAGTACAATTGAAATATTAATGGCAATTTTTTTCATGTTTACTAAGGCGCAAGCATCTTAAGAGCGTTTCTCTTGTGCACAGTCATTGTGCTGTCACTGCTATTTTTATAAAAATGCAAAAATATTCCTATCAAAAACAGAACTTTTGTTTAGAAAGAAGTCTGAGCTTTCTACTCTACCTAGTTTTGTGATATTTGCTTTAATTTAAAGACCGTAGATGTTTTCTCGGTTGCTATTATTAACCGATTTCATAAAATAAACACTAAGTTTTAAAGACACTTTAAATGAATAGAATGAACGTTCATCTGCCGTCATTTGTTCATTATTTCACTGTGTGAGTTGTAATCGATCCATTGAACGCATTCCACATTTCCTCTTCTAGAAATCTTTTAAGTATGAGTTAGTTTAATTGTGATAATTGAAAGCTAATGAAAATGGATCGTTCTAGATAGAAAAGAATGTGAGGGTAAACGTTTCAAATTCGTAACGAATGATAGAAAACAATGATTGCAAGTATTTTTAAGTTGGAAAATTAACCGGGATGTGAAGCAATCGTTTTAATCATATATTCCTTCAAAAAACCCTTTCAGTTATTATAATAATATCATATATATTACGATTTTAATACATCATTATTTCCTGCAATAGTTCACTACAGCTATATTTTCAGACCTTGATAAATATAAAAAAAATTTTAATTAGATTTTCAGAAATACACTCAACTCGTGTGTTCAGTGATCGTGATTGAATGCTTAGCAGACGATGAAATCAATTCTTTATTATTATTATTATTATTATTATTATTATTATTATTATTGTTATTATTATTATTATTGTTATTATAACTTTCGCCATTGCTACAAACCCAAATAACTTCAGAGAAAATAGATGGTAGTAGTCTGTTTCTGCAACACGTAAAGAACAAGCATATCATTTAGAGTGACTCAGCTTTTCCAAAAATTAACATCATTTCACGACGCAGTAGACGATGTGGCCAACATTTGAATGGCCTCTTTTCTGGAAGAACATGTGTGCGGAAGTTACGATTTACTTTTTGCAATAAATGCTACGAACATCGTAAATGCTTATGTACGCTTCTCTGGACTTCTCGTCACCCCTTGAATGCGCGCCAAAATGCAAAGTACTTTGTACTTACTCCGCCAGATACCGCAGTAAGCGACCTCAAATAGGACAAATAAAAGAGAGACATTGCAGATCTTACGAATTCTTGCGTC